CTAACAGGAATAATAGCGGTCATAATAAAAGTTCAGCAGTGGAGTGTGTCTCAGTGTGTTAACTGATGCACTGTTTTGAAGTAGATGTGTTGGTACTTTACTGCCTGTCAGTGAGATCTGTGCTTCTCAGTAGGACCTCAGGCAGACTGAGGATGTTTACACAGATTCATACAAAGAGGGATGGAGGTGATAACAGTCTGATCAATAATTAAAACGCTTGCATTAAAGAAACAGGAAGCCGTGCGATAAAGACTCGACTCTCCTCCACGAACATGCATGAGCGCTCAGAGCAGCATAATGGAAAATCCTCCCGCATTCACTCAGTCATCAGCTGCACACTGACCCAGATTCTGCTGCAGACTCCATCACACTCATCTGACACACTTTCTGTACGACTTACTGTCTGTTTTACTGTAGTTCTGTCAACACTGCTGTTTCTAGTGGAGCAGGTTTTTCTCCAAACTTCTCTGGAGTGAATGTACAACATTTACTCTCAAAGTGTGCAGCCGTAGAAGCATCAATTCACTTCAGTCTTATTTATGTAGCATCAGATCCTAATGTGAGTCATGTGCAGGAGCTTTATTATTTCATTACAGAGAGAAGAACAACAATCCCCCCCTGAGCAGCACCAGGAGACTGTTAGGAGGAAATTCCTGAATGAACTGCTGCTGCCAGAAAAGTAGAAAGATAGATAGATAGATAGATAGATAGATAGATAGATAGATAGATAGATAGATAGATAGATAGATAGAGTCTTTATTGAACAAAAGGCAGTCTGTGTTCTTATTAAGGGCAATTATTGCAGCACAAACTTGTCAGACGGAGCTCAGGTTTACTGTCATGTCGATCATTTGTAGACAGAACACATGTGTCTGGATGTTCAGAGTCCAGGCTGCAGGTATAAAGAGGTCACATGTTCCCACAGGGCGACTGTCACGGCAGCAAAGTGCTAACGTGCTAACAGTAACATGCTAAAAATAAAGACCTAACATGCTCACATAACATGCTAACGTTCCCCCAATAACATACTAACTCACCATAACATGCTAATATTAAAGTGCCAAAATCCTTGTGGTAAAAAAGTGCGAACATGCTCAAAGCAGTGTGCTTACTTTAACAATAAAGTATCAGCATGCTCAGAGTAACAATGAAATTCTAACTTGCTAACGATACAGTGTTAATGTGCTCACAGCATCAATAAAGTGCTAAAATGCTAGCAATAAAGTGCTAACAAAGTGCTAACACACTGACAGTAAAATGCTAATATGCTTACAGAAACAAGAAAGTGGAACATGCTCACAGTTTACATGCAAGTGCTAAACAAAGCGCTAACATGCTAGCATTAAAGGGCTAATACGCTGACACTAACGTAAACATGCTCACAGTTTACATGCTAGCTTTCTCAAAGTGCTAAACAAAGCGCTAACATGCTAGCATTAAAGGGCTAACATGCTGACACTAACATGTAAACATGCTCACAGTAACATGCTAACATTCTAAACAATAAAGGGCTAACATGCTAGCATTAAAGGGCTAACATGCTGACACTAACATGTAAACATGCTCACAATAGATTGCAAACATTCTAAACAATAAAGCGCTAACATTCTAACACTAAAGTACCGAAACACTCATGGTAGCATGCTAACTTGGTCAAAGTAACACACTTATGATAATTTGTTCACCATAACATGCTAACATGTTTACAATAATACACTCAGAGTAACATGCTAACATGCTCATAACAAGCTACATTAATTATAATAATTAGAATAATAACAATAATTCTGTGGTGGAAAAAATCTACTTATATTTACTGAAATA